GGCCGCGTGCGCGTGCAGGGCGGCGCGGATGTCAGACCGGCGATGCACGGTGGTGTCCTGCTGCTGCTGCTCGGCCATCTCGCGCGCAATGCGGTGCCGCAGCGCCATTTCCTCGTGCATGCGGCGCGCGTCCTCAGCCTCGTCTTCCTCCGCGTCCACGTCGTCGTAGCCGCCGAGGTCAGGCACCTCCTCATCTTCGCCGAGCATGTCGTTGGACACGAACATCATGTCTGCTTCTTCGTCATCGTCAAAGTCGTCGTCCTCGTCCTCGATCATGTCGTCCTCGTCTTCCTCGTCGTCGAGCAGCTCGTCTTCCTCGTCTTCGCCGCCCATTTCCACGCGCGGTGGTGGCGGCACAAGCTCCATCACATCTACGCCAAGGCCGCTGCGCGCATCGCTCTCAGCGACAAGGGAGCTTCCATTGTCGTCATCATCGCCATCATCACCATCGTCGTCGTCGTCGTCGTCGTTGCCGCCGTTGGCACCGTCTCCTCCGTTCTCGTCCTGGCCGCCAAACTCCCGCATGAGGGCCTGCATGATGGCGCGCGTGTCTTCGTCATCGGCGCTGTCACGCAGGTACATGGACGAGTTGTCGCTGTACCGCGAGTCGGTCTCCACAGAGAGGCTGCTGCTGGTGCCGCGCAGGTGCGGGGGCACAAGCATGCCCTCCTGTGCAGCGTCGGGCGTGCCCGGTGTTGCGGAGAGGGCGCTCACGTTCGGCATGCCGTGCGACGAGCCGTCGTCGTCTGGGCCAGGCCGAATGGCCTGTGGCGGGGTGCTTGGCGACTCTGCGCCGCCACGCGCAGCGCTGGGTGTTGGCGTGCTCACGGACGCCGGGGCAGGCTGGTTGTCGTCCCCCGTGCTCATGGCGCGTGACTGCGCCTTCTTCAGCGTGAGTGGGCTGGCGGCGGCCATGCCCGTGTTGAGCGAGGGCGGCGTGGCGTAGTCGCCAAGGCGCTCCAGCAGCGTGCGCACAATCACGGAGCGCGCCGTCTTGGGCGTCACATCCGCGTGGCCCATCTCCTTGAGGTGCGACACGAGCTGCTCGTCGACGCGCAGCAGCGGCAGCGCAACGGCAAGCACGCGCACCACCACGTCCAGGATGCGCGGCGTGCACACGGAGGACAGCATGAGGGACAGCAGCGCGCAGGAGCTGGAGCTGTGGGAGAGGACGGCGTGGCCAAGGTGGCTGTCGGCAAGCTCGTCCAGCAGGAACAGCACCTCGCTCACAGATGTCACGCGCACGTCATCCGGGCGCACGTTCGGGGACGCCCGCAGCGCCTGCACCATGACCGCAAAGTGGTTGACCAAAAAGTGCGCCAGCACGTTGAACAGCCGCTGGGCGCCTGCACCCGTGGCCAC